TCCCCCGCCGGCCGGTTCCCCGCCATTACCATGAAACCCAGTCCGAGATCGCCGATTACGGATTCGGCCGAAGATCCATCGACACAGATCCTCGATTCTCCCTCGACGCCCCCCCACGATTCTCCCTCGACGAGCCCCCACGACACTCGTTTGACGAGCCTCCTCGAGCCTCTTGGGACGGCTACTACTTCACCGGAAAAAATCTCCCCAAAACACCACTCCAAAACGGGCCTTCCTCCCGAGCCCACCCGAGACCTGATATGCATATGATCCCTCTCGAACAACCCCCGATTGATGGTGATAACAACGTGCTGCTGCCAGGTGGCTCGACCCAGACTCGAGACTACTATCTCGATTCTTCTTCTTCTAGAAGGCGAAAGAGCCTCGACAGGTCGAGTTCGATCAGGAAAACCGCGGCTGCAGTCGTAGCCGAAATAGACGAGCTGAAAATGGCGGCTGCTTCGTGTTCTTCGTCGACTTCCAATGCCAAAGTCCTCCCCACGAACGCTGAGGATTATGTTCGTGGGGCGAAAGTTTTGGTCGATGATGACATCTCGGAAGGCATTTTGGGTATTTCGGAGAAAAAGGAGCCGGCAAGAGCGAAAAAATCCAGAAAATGGGGTTGGAAGATATGGGGTTTCTTGCATAAGAAGGGTAGCCATAAGAACGAATACGATCACGATAATGGAGTCATCGAAAGGTCGTGGTCTCACTCGTGGAGAAGGGAAGAAAATAATAATAATAGCAACGATAGCGGGCTTAGCTCGAATAATATTTTACGGAGCAATAGTAGCGTGAGTTGGAGGCACGCGGGCCCGGTTGGGGTTGGGCCCGTATTTGCAAACGGAAGGAGGAGCGACTACGGTGGGGTGGATAAGAAAAGGAATAATAATAATAATAAGGCGAGGTATTCACCGAGCCATTTGGATAACGGGCTTTTGAGATTCTATTTAACGCCCATGCGGGCCAACCGGAGAGGAGGGACGGGTCGGGTCAAGCCCGCGAACCCGCATTCGGTCGGGAGGAGTGTGATGAGGATGTATTGAGATGTTAGTCCCGGTTTTGGGGTTTGTTCGTCTAGTCTGTTTGTTTGTTTGTTTGTTCGATTGTTACGGTTAAAGTATCGGGTTTTTTTCTTTTTCTTTTGGGGGCATTTTTATGGTGTACTTAAGGTTGAAGGTCCATTTTGTTGTTTCCTCAAATACATTTTGAATCTTTGATCAGAATATATACTTGTTTAGGGGTATTTTTTTTTTCCTTTGCCAATGTCTGCTTGTGATAATCAAATGAGGAACAGTTTAAAACATTTACAGAACAATAATTGTGTCCTGTTTAATCAACTGATGAGAGTTGAAAACAATGGCTGAGGACACAAAGTGAGCTGATTGCTCCTCAAATGGCTGAATAAATAGCCAATTCATATAAATTTGTTTTCTTTTTCCATAGTCATGGTAAAATCAATCACTGAAACTTTTTAATTTTTATACATAAAAATGTCTAACTTTCTTTATTTTTATTTTTTTTTTTCCTCTTTTTTTTTCTGATTTGATATGTTCAAAAAGGCGAAATTCTCGGATTAAAAACATAAGCAAAGTGAAACAGGGGTCACAGTCAGATATCACAAGTCCCACTAATTATTATTATTATTATTATTATTATTATTATTTTTACAGTATTTTCTAAAAACCTAATAAAAATAAAATGTCTAGCAAAGTAGAAAAAACCTAAACTTGGGCAGGTAAAATGTTTGTGTTTGTGCTTTTTTTTTTTTTTTGGTTGGGGTCAATTTTGTCAATGAAAAATTTGTTGAAAGTTGACAATTTGACAATGTGTTGTTGTTTTTTGTCAACTCCCTTTAGGTGCTTAGTGAATTTCTTGAAAAATTGATTGACATAATAAGTTTAGTTAGTTAGCAATGATTTATTGTTTTGTGCCCATTTTGTTTGTCATTATCAATGAAGTAAAATAAAGTGGACATAGATACCCAGAAAGTAATCAATTTGGGGTATATGTGTAATGCTAAGGAGCCAATTGTTGGCTCCGTTACGGAACCAACAACTAATGGGATAGCTCCATGTGGAATTGTCCCACATTGGAGCCATGTGGAACAATCCCACATGGAGCTGTCCCTATTGGCTGTTGGCTCCGTAACAAGGCCAACAGTTGGCTCCTTAACAGTATTGTTATACTTAATATGTGAGTTGGTAAGCATTTTTTTAAAACTTTTTTGCAATTAGTTGGTGGAAAAGGTTTTGCACCAAAAATTGCAAACATTTCCCAAAATTTCAAAATAAAAAAATAATAATAATAATAATAAATAAAAGGAGAAGCAATAATTTGGTGGAACTTGAAAACTAAAAATGGGCAAATTTGTCTCAAAAAATTGGATAATGTACAATTTTCAAATATGACCTCCTAAACTAATTTTTTTGTCCTGGGAGAGAGATTGCTACAGTCCCGTTACTGAACCATTCTGTCGGGATTTGTAACCGTTAGATCAATATGATGATCTAACGGTTACAAACTTCGAAGGAATAGTTTCGTAACGGGACTGTAGCATTTCTCTCCATTATAAATGTATTTTCGTGCAAGCAGCACGCGCAATTGTTGTACTGTCTGGACTTTGTTTTTTTTTTCTAACAGGCATTGTTTTACCTTTAGGTTGTTTCTATACTTTTGGTCTGCTATTTATGTGTTATACCTGTTGTGCAATAGTTCTATTGATAATTAACCGGTAAAAAGATTACATGTTTTTAAAAAATTAATAGGAAATAAAAATGGAACATTAAAAAAAAATCTAAAAAAAGAATTAAATAAGAAGAATGAGGTTAATTTGTGTATGATAGTAAAATGTAAAGAAAAAAATTATTTTTTTATTTTTATTTTTTTTAAGTGAGACTAACCATTAGATGGGTCTATACCCAATTAAATAAGTAGGATTGGTTGGTGGGGAACAAAGTAAATGTTTGGATTAATTAAGTTTTTTTTATGAAAATTCTAACAAATAAGAGCACTAGAGTGTAATAATATTTTTTTTTTCATAATTGCCATGTAACAATCGTGTGGCCAAAAGTAGGGGTGACTAAAACCGAGCCGTGCGACGTGATTAAGTTATTTTATTGTAAACTCGTGAAGTTCGTTTTGAATAGTACTTCATTATTTCGGATTTTAATTATTTTATTTAATTCACGTAACTAATATGGAGAATTTTTTATTTTGCTCTAATTTATTGGTTGTTCTATACGTGTAACAAAATTAAAATAAATAAAAGTCAAAAAAGTGGCAAGAAAATATATTCAAAGGCACGGAATGTTACATATAGGCAACAATTATAGTCTTTTTTTTTTTTTTTCTTCTTTCGGTGGAAAAAAACAAAAATAAAATAATATAAAATTATTTATGTTTGTCAAAAAGGTCATGCAATTTGTCCAATCAATTAAGTCAGGCGTTAGCTTTGTTCACACCGTGTGTGTATTTTGCTTGGGCTCAAATGTACATTTTATATATTATTATGAAATTAATTTGAAGCTTTATTTGCTTTTTTTTTTTAATAAAAGAATAATATTTTCCAAAAAAATGAGATTAAATTTTGCAATCTCTTTTATCTTATTTTTTTCATTAAAAAATATAATAACAGACAAGTTTGTCATTTGAAATATGTCCTTTATTGATGGGGGAAATGACAGTTAATTTACATAATAATAATAAATTGTCCCCCTTCAATATCATAAATTTCATGGTCACTGAAAGTGCTTATAAATTTTATGATCAATATTTAACCACTTTTAATTAGTTTTTAATCAATTGATTTTTTAACTTAGAATAAAACTTTAACTCAACCCCGCTATAATCGATGTTATCAATATAATTAAATAAAATAGCAATAAGTCATTCTTTCACATCATATCTACTTTAATTTATTATATGATCAACTCAGATAATTTTAACCATTAGATTGTAAATATTATTTTAATGCAAACATAAAATTCCATTCAAACTTATCACATCTATTTTTTTTTTTCAAAATTAACTGTGATTACCCTAAACAAGACAAAAGATAGATAAAAGATACAAAGGAAGGAGAAAAGGACATCTATGAAATTGCAAAGCAAAAGAAAAAGAAGACAAATATCTCAACGGAAATTAAATGCATAAAAGATGAAAATGGAGAGATATTAGTTGATGATAAAATAATAAATGATCTATGGATAGATTATTTTTATAAATTGTTTAATGAAATAGATAATAAGAAAATATCGCTCGGGAAATTAGAGAAAAGTGAGAAATACAAAAATTTCACATACTATATCAAAATTCAAACCAAAGAAGTGGAGAAAGCAATGCAAAAAATGAAAAATGACAAAGTCATAGGTCCATATGATATTCCAATAGAGGCATGAAAATGCCTTGGTAAATTTGGAATTGAATGAGTTACGAACTTGTTTAACATAATCATGAAAAGTAAGAAAATGTCCAATTGAGGGAAAGTACGTTAATATATATGTTTAAAAATGAAAGAGACATACAAAATTGTGCAAACTACATGGGCATATAAATAATGTGTCGCACAATGAAATTATGGGGGAGAGTAAGACCATCTTCGGCCTTCTGCTCTAGAGTAGAGTAAGCTAAAATTCAAGTTCCATCTCTGGTCCTTTTTTGTTATATTTTACTCTACATCAAATATATTATTTTTTATACATTTCTATTTCAAATAGTATTGTATATATATGTACATTTAATTTTATATAAATGTTTATTACCCAAATAACAAAAATACCCTCACGTGTTCCTTAGAGTATAAAGTCATATTTAATTATGTTGTTTTTATTTGTGTAGTTTAAGTCATCTTTAATTATGTTGTTTTTATTTATGCATTTTAAGTTATATTTAATTATGGTGTTTTTATTTGTGTATTTTGTGATTTATGTGTGTTGTACAATTTTTTTTTTTTTTTAATGAAATCTACTTGTGCCATTGTGTTAAATTTTTATTCATATGGTACCATTTCAATATTTAAAAATTGCAAAATAAAATTATAATAATAAAGCATAAAATTATTTAGCATAAAAAACATATTTCACGAAGTTATTTAACATAAAAAAAATACATTTACCGATACACAATATATAAAATTTTATCATTAAAATTGCATTAGTACAAAGAAAAAAAATAATATAGAGTTGTTACAGTGTTGAGTCAGATGTGGGACAACACTATTGCTTCCTCCAAAATAGCGCAAATTTGTGGAGCAGTGTTGGACTTTTTTTTTCTTTGCAATGAAATAGCGCAACTCAGAAGAGATAGAGTCACGTTGTAGGTGGTCTAATAGAACCTAAACTAAAACAAGAAACAAACATAATTGAAAACTAATTTGGCTTTATGCCGGGAAGATAAACAATGGAAGCTATTCATGTAATAAGGAGACTTTGTGAACATTCTAATGAGAAAAAACAGAATTTGCATAGGGTAATTATTTACCTTGAAAAAGCTTATGATAGTGTTAATAGAGTATAATATGGAGTGTTAGAAAAGAGGGAGGTGCGAGTTGGTTATACAGAAAGCACAAAAGATATGTAAAATAACGTGAAAACTTGTTTTATGGGATATTGAGTTAATTCCCTATCACAATTGGTTTGCATCAATGTTCGATGTTGAGTCTTTATATGTTTGCATTAGTAATTGACAATATAAATAAGGATGTGTCACAATTCATTTGGGTTGGAACAAGTGGAGGAGTGCGTCGTCAATAGTTTGTGATTGTAAAATACCAATGAGTTTGAAAGAAAAGTTCTATCGAACGGCTATTCGACCATAGTTTGTGATTAAAATACCAATGAGTCTGAAAGAAAAGTTCTATCGAATGGCTACTCGACCGACAATGTTTTATGGATCCGAGTGTTGGGCTACTAATTATGAAAATGATAAAAAAATGCGAGTGACGTAGATGAGAATGCCGAGATAAATATGTGAGTATTAGAAAATGAAAGTATTAGAAATAAAGTTGAGGTAGCGTCCATAGAAGAGAAAACGAGACTCGCGATTAAGATAGTTTGTGCATATGCACAGGAGAGACTTCGAGGCACCGGTGAAAATAATAGACACATTCGAATTAAGAATGCAAATTAAAAGGTGGAGGAGTAGACCTAAGAAAACTTGGAATGAGACAATAAAAAATAATTTAAAATATTTAAATTTGAATGATAATATGTGCTTTGATTGAGCACGACGACGACATGTGATCCATTTAGCCGACTCCACTTAGTTGAATTTTAATGGCTACTTGATTGATTGATTGATACCTAAAACAAACCAATCAAAACTAAAATATCCAGCGACAAACTTATATCCACGCACTCCCTGATAAATCATATTAAAACTATAAAACATAAAAATAAATAAACATATATACCCAAAGTAATTCACCATAGAAGCAAATCAGCATCTACATGAGAATTCACACTTTCAGATTATACCACAGAGGAATAATTATAATATATCCACACAGCACTTGAAAAAACAGCTTCAAAACTATCAAACATCTTAAGCTAAACAACACTAAGAAGTCACTTTTTTTCCCCCTTGTTTCACTTCTATCTTGAGTGAAATAGCTCTATGCATTTTCTTCATAAACGTGAACTATATAAAGCACCATGAAGAACCAAGGATTGTGTAATTCCAAAGAGAGAGCAACATAAACAAGAACTAAAAAAAGCTCTCCTGCAAACAGAAAACACAACAAAACAACCGAGACCCTGCGTATATGTTCGTGACAACCGCCAACCGATAGAGAGAGAGAGATACAGAGAGAGAGAGAGAGAGTAATGAATGCGAATGCGATGAAAAATGCCGTTTAAATCAAATTGCGGCCACAAGTCAACCAGCCCCTAAGGTAAACGGCGCAAGTACTTACCCTTAACATCCTTCGAATTGGATTTTTTGACGGGGCTCTTTTTCTTCACTCCCAAGTAATTAAAATCCTCATCCTCATCATCATCCGTATCGACTCGTCTCGTCGATTCCGACCCGGCGGCCATGCGGTTCGGAATGTAGACGTTGAAGTAGTAATTCACAATGTCTTTCCCGGTTTTATTGGGAAAACACTTTAGCGCTCGTTTCAAGAAGCTCTTCCCATCGGAATTCTGCATCATTTTCAACAGAGACCCGTAACGGTTTTTCTCCTTCAACGACCACGACTCAGAAACCTGTTCGCCCATCTTGTCAAATTTCCATATAGAAAAGGCGAGACCCAACTCATGCTGAAGAGCCAGCTTCTCATCGAGCACATGCTGCCTAACGCAATCAGACGAACCGGGAGAAACGCACGAACACGAGTCAGGCCGTCCCTTTCCTATTGCTTTTCCAGCTCCTTTGTTGTTGTTGTTGTTGCCACGGGTTTGAGCAGGCCAGACCTGAGTTCCCAACCATTTGGAATCATCATCGGGCTTTTCTGCAGGCCCAGCCCATTTAGGGACGTCGGCCTGGAAACGGGGCCCAATAGGAACAACTTTTTTCTGGAACTGATCGCTTACGATATTCAGTAACCACTTTGACTGGCGGGAAGGCTTTCTGCGGGCCCCATGTGACAGACAATGAATCTCGTTAGGAAATGATTCTACTGGGCTCACATGGTTCAGGTTCGGGCCTTTTACAGAATCATCGGAATCTACATTAGGAGGTGTGTTATTATTGCTGCAAAGGCAGTTAAAATCAAGTGCATCGTCTAGGAGTGAATATTCGAATGTCAGTAAACTGGTGGAAGCATGAGGGTCGAAGGTAGTTTTCTCATGCAGGCATCGAGTGGAGTCAGATGAATTAAGCAAACACGAAGAAGTTGGTGAAGCATGGGAAGACTGTTTCCTGCTCATTTTCCTCGTATTGTTCTCTTTGCTTGGGGAAACAAAGGGAGAAGGAGGTCTCAGCTTATCTTTTACGAACTGCTCGAGTTTGCGCTTTCTCTGTCGAAAGAAAGAATAGGTCATTTTGAGTGAAAAATATTCGGGAAGGTACCACCAGCAAACAAAATTTGATACGAAAAAGTGATGCAGTTTTTAACACCAAGATCTGCTTAAAGATCCGAAAACCATCCAATCAGAATGGATTCTCTTATCCATAAATAAGTTTCTGACATAGACAACCATTAACCTTCAACAAAACTAGTGTTGTTAAATAAAACGCGTACGGCTCGGCTCGGCTTGTTAACGCTCAAGTTTGGCTCGACTCGTTTGATAAACGAGCCAAGATCGAGCTCATTTAAAGCTCAGTTCGGCTCAATAAGGCTCGAAAAGAAATTTTGTATATAATTTTCAATAGTACGGCTCGTTAAAGCTCGAAATCGGCTCGTGAAGAGTGATAAATGAACCGAGCTCAAGCTTGATTTTAGGCTCGTTTATTTAACGAGTCGAGTTCAGCTCGGCTCGTTTACAGGCCAAAACAAAACTATGTATAATTAATAAACATCATAACAAATAATAAGAGGATTGCCATCAAAATACGTGGGGCATGTTTGATAAGCATCACAAGTTAGCTTTAAAGTTTATTTAGTTGGCTTATAAGCTTCTTATATGTAAATAAGTTTGGTTTGGTAGTTTGAACTTTTTTAACAAAAAAGGAACTTATCTCTAAGCTCTTTAGGTAGCCTTTCAAAAAAGAAAACCTTGAAATCTTTATTGCAGTTGTCTTTATCACCTAATTGTACCCTATTTTTATTATATCAGCTAGTTTTTCAGCCATAAGCTATCATTTTTAAGCTCAAATTTCACTTATCAACTATCAGGTATCAGCTAGCATTTCGTCTATTTGCCAAACATAACCTTATAAATATAGCTAACGCATACACACAAACTCAAAAAATAACCACGATTAAGAGCTTTAGAATTGATAATTGTAGAATGTCCTCACATGACCGATTCGCCTAAAACCAGTCGGCATACCCTTAACCTTATAGCAAACATGTCCAAGCTTCCGGTAAATTTGGAACAGGTATAGGCTTCACTACCCCTCCTTAAAAGGGTGTTCCAAAAATAAACAAATAAATAGCAACGAGAGAGAGAAAAAAAAAAAGGAAAAGTCATAAATTCATTGTGATGTGATCCTTAGCCTACTCGACACCAAAACGTTGGCTCTACTATCACGTTTACAATTCCACGGTCATACACCCATAAAAAGGCATGATATAATTTAGATTCTTCATATATTTACTGCTCCACGAAAGTACATACAGTCTAAGTCCTAAATTAGTACCTACTGCCAAACATAATGGAGTTACTCCCCTAACATCAAGTCACATGATTTACCCCACTAACATCCCATTGCATGATGCTATGCAGATTGCTGATAATGTTTCCCTAATATTTGTGATCCAACGAACCTGGATTATTAAAAAGATAAACCATTTTGATATCTCAAAACTCACGAACCTAACATATTACACTGTACATGAGCCGAAAAGTTGACCACCTCAATTCCAAAACTTGCCCTGACTGGATAAACACCCTAAAATTGTCTAGGAAATAATTATAGAGGATAACGACAGGATCAACATAACAGTAACATGTCCATAACATACAAAGTTCTCATTAACAATCAATTCTCATGTAATTACTAATTAGAAATCTTCAGAACTTCGTTTCTCAAAGAATAGTATCAATAGTGATTATGTAATTAAATATAATCTAATTGTACAACTACAAGAATATTGAACCCTCAAATCTAGTATGAGAGACTAATTTCCACCATCCATCAACTAGAATTAGACAACATTAGTTCAAGATTCTCACTCGCATGCCTTCCAATTTTGACAATAATGGTAAACGGAAGGAATTGTACGAGGAGATAAAGTGCTTGTTTGAGAGTACTTCTGAAAAAGTCCGTTTAAAATGGACTTATTCAAAATGGACTTCTCAAAATCTCCATCCTTGCGTCTGCAGAATGGACTTTTTGGATAAACAACTTATCCATAATTTCATTCTTAATTTAGCACCAACATAAATATTTACAAAAGTCCATTTGAGAAGTGTTTCCAAACAAGCTCAAAACAAGGGGAAATGGCGGTTATGAGGAAAAATACGAAGTGCGCAATTCTACAGAGAAAATTATAAACACCATAATCACTTAAGATGCACATATTATTATGCAAATTAACAAAAGTTAGTATATACACTAGCTTCATAGACTGGTGATCACTCTAATAAGGTGTCTCAATGTTCAAATAGGTAAAACTCCCTCACACTCCTCAACATACGCTGCTATCTGCCACCACACCACCCTCAATATCTGAATACGCTTTTTAGACAACTCATGCTTTTGATTCGCAACATCAATAGAAGTAACTAGTAAAGCAAGTCCAATCCAACACATGATCAGCCCAACCAAGAATTAGTCTGAACATTAGTTATCAAAGCTTAGGATGTAAAACCAGGCTGTCTTTTGAGAGACAAGAATAAACATATAATAAGCCAATGCGTACTGTTACTTAAATATCTAACAGGACAGCATAAAGTCATAAACGACCAGCTCCAACTCTATCACTAACAGTATGAAACGAACTGTAGGAGCAAATAAAGAAATATCCCAGTATAGGTAAAGAATGTGTAGGAGCTTACCCAAGGAATTTCAGAATCTTTCAGAACCATCACTTTTCGAAACTTCACAATCTGATTTCGGAAAGCCTGAATATTATCGCGCGCAAACTGTGGATTACTGGGATCGACTGCAATTGCTTTTAGCTTAGATACAATTTCTGCCTCAGAATATTTTCCGAACATAGAATTTCGTTGCACATCCCCTATGCCCCTAATGTGAGCCGTGTCGACACTTTTCTTCTCCTTCTCTCCCGATTGTCTCTTCATCCTTTGGCCGACTAAAAATCAACGATTAACAATCCTCTTTTTTTTTCCAAAATTCAATTCCGAAGCAGCTCAAACGAATAATGTTATAGCTCGACAGTTGTAGCTCCCAAATTCAAATCCTGAAACCAGAAAAACAAGATTATTCTTTTCCCAAACTCCAAATTATTCACATCGATAACAAAAAATAATTGTAGTAGACTACACAATTCAATCAATCAATCAAACACAACAAGCCGTTAAAATCCCACTTAGTTGGGTCGGCTATATGGATCACATGTCGCCATCGTGCTCAATCAAAGGTCACTCATATCCTCATTCAAATTTAAATATTTTAAATTATTCTTTATTGTCTCATTTCAAGTTCTTTTAGGTCTACCCCCTCTTTGAATTTGTATTCTTAGTTCTAATGTTTCTGCTTGTCCATTGCAAATGGAGCTAGAAGAGTCATTGTTGACAATTCTCATGGCATAGTGCTAATAATGGACTAGATCAAAATGGCTCAATTAAATTCTAGTGCTTCTTCTATTAGTGAAGTTTCTAGAAAAAAAAAATATATCAAACAACGCAATGCACTTTGGGTCGCTACGGAAACAACCTCCTTGTATAATTACAAGGGTAAGGTCTCCGTACAACTGACCTCCCAGACCCCAACCAGTTGGGAATATACTGGGTATGTTGTTGTTGTTGTTGTTGTAGTTCTAATGTTTCTACTCTTGTCACCGGGCGCTACGAACACAAAGTACCAAACAGTAAATAAAATGACAAAAGATAAAGTACAAAACAATAACCAGCTGATAATTTCACTTGTCAAATGAGATCAGACAGCATTAAATACAGTAATTAGCTAAGCTACAGAGCTTAAACCTGACCACATGTAATCAAACAATAATCTAAACTTCAACTTCAGCAAATATGAGCTTAAATATCAAAAACCCATTTAACCAAAACTTAAAAAAAGCAGCTCAAAATATACACTCTCACACACATACACACACAAACACGAGCTAAACCAGCAGAAACACACACACACACACACACACACACACACACACACACACACACAAAACACAAACACAAACTCGTAAACTACACATACATTCACACATCTCGTCGACATGCTACAAAATGCATAAAACTATAAGAAATTTGCATCTAAACAAACAGCGAAAGTAGGAATCGCAGCTCTGCTTCAGAACAAAAAAAATACACAAAAAATAAATAATAAATATTTAATTAATAATAATAATATTACGACCTATAATGATGAAAAAAAAAATATATATATATATATCGATAAAAGTAGTATTAGGAAACAAAATTAATAAAACTCAAAACAAATATTGGTAACAAAAAACTCTGCAGCGTACACAAAATCGGGTCGCATTTACAGCGCAGACATTCCGCGGAAAGGGAGGCGAATCGACCCGACCGGATTTCGGGGCTCAGATGAATATTGTTGACGCTAAATTCGTAAATATTGGTTTTTTTTTTTTTTCCTTCTGTTAATTAAAAATTTCCAGCTATTTCTGAAATTGTGTAGCGGGCATATGGATCCTGATTTGGATCTGGATCAGTAAGTTATGATAATTGTATTTTGGCCCTCAAACTATTATTTTGTTTCTTTGTGAGACTTTTGAGTTCCTACCTATCATAAATTTGACACATCTGGAACTCCTTATTTATATGGATAGATCTTTTGTTAGGTCGACCTGTCTACATAAATTTTTCATAGACTTATATAATTTTACTCGAAAAATGTCATACTTTAAAAAATAAAATAAACAGAAGTATATTTGTTTGTTCATATAATATGACAGATCGATTTATCTAACCGTTGGATGATATGAATCAAAACAATGATCCAAGTGATCCCTCACGAACAATGTAGATCATGATCAAAGCAAAACTCGATTTTCGACATGGTCTTCCTCAACTAAATCGATCTATTTTTGTACTGAATTGTTGGAGAATAGAAAATATGTGATATAGATGAAGATTATAGCCTATATATAAATAACATTCTCTCTACCATTCATAATAACCTAAATTATAATTTATTAAGTATATATTGTCCATATTTAAGACATTTGACTTATTTAGATAGCTTAATTAAGTCAATAAATTAATTAATTACCTAACCTGATTGTATAAAGATATTTTGAATTGTTGCTCATAATTAAATTATACATAAGATCTTATATTTCCTACTATGACAATTTATATTTATTAAAATGGTGTATTCATTTGAGATTTCTAAAAACATTTCAAACCTTCAGAAATCTTTATATATTTATTTTGAAGTTGTATTCAATTGGGATTTTAAAATTTTTTTAAGACTATAAAAATTTTGTTGTATTTAATATAGACTTTTAAAAGTCTCTAGGTATTCATGAAATTTCAAACGAATACCCTTCCCCCTAGACTTTTTAAAACTTTTAAAAGTCTTGATGCATTCATATTGATTTTAAAAAGTCTTACAACATCCAGAGTTACTTAACTTATTTGAGACTCTGATATGTTAAGACTTTTTAAGGTTTGTTTAATGATAGGTCGAAAAATGTGCATGTTTTACATATTTAATAGTGTATTCTTATACGCTTAATTTATTCGCACATTTATATTTTTCGACCTATTTATTATTTGGATGAATTTATTTGCTTTGATGTTTTATGTTTATTTTCAGTATTTTGGAGCAATTTGTGTACCCGAAGCATTGTACGGGAGTTCACGCGATCAATTATCAAACACCTCATACCGGTTTAATTTCAGCCCATTCCCGCAGGCTAAAGGAATTAGTTACAAGGGGACCTGAGGAGATCACTCACGTAGGAAATTTGTGACACACGAGCCAATTGGGCCATTGGCCCAACAATGACTTCATCTAATAATTTGGCTGCAAAGGAAAATGAGTCAGGGGAACCACTATTGCACATGCAGATTTATTTGTGGACAACTAATTAATGTTACAGTTTGATTGGCAGAGGGAACTTGATTTTTGCTTAGCACTTCGGTATTGGGATATATTCAAAAGAGGATTTTTATTGACGGGAGAGGGAGACAGAAAAAAAAACCCACACGCACAGAAAGAAAAAAAAGAAAGCCGAAAGGAGAAACGGGAAAAAGGCAGAGACCCACGCACAGTCTGTGAAGGAGGCTACACACGCGGAGGGAAGCCGCAATCGCACACGAGAGGATAATTCTATTCTCTCTTTTATCTTTTATTTATTTTTATTAGTATGCTAGAGTAGATTTTTATCCAGTTTAAGGGGATGTTTGAACTCTAACTTTGATTTGTCTATGGATTGAAGGATTTATTTTTATCGTTTGGTTAATTGAGACGTCGTATTTATTTTTGTTGATGAGTTGATTCACGTTATCTATGTTTAATGTTTATGAATTATGATGTTTGATT